TCGAACGAGAAAAGTGGAGGGGGAAAAATTTTTCCCCCCCCCCCCCCCAAACCCCAAGGGCCCCCCCCCCCAAACTGCAGTTTAATCTTTAAAATACCATGAAATCCAGTCATAGGTCTGTGTACTCTTAGAAGCCAGTTTTAGAAGCAGCATTATGAATTACACAAAATACACAGTGTTTTCGTTGATGGAGAATTTTGGGGTACGTGGGATAAATGCACTCCTGTGTGAGGCAGTAACCCACCCAACACTCCTCTTTCTTTTAAACTCATTCCAGGACCGCCTTCAAGATTTCGCTGCCAGCTGTCATGAAGTCGAAGAAAAAGAAGCCGAAATTAGCCATTTGACGGCCCAGTCTTTACCATGGATGGCTTCTTGCTGCAGTGCAGGTTGCGGCGGCAAAGCTACAAGTGGCGTTTGCAGGACGCTGAAAAAGAGCAGGCCCTGAATTAAAATAGACCTACAGAGAGCTAAAGCTTTCGGGAGAGTCGTGTAAGTCAGGTGCACCTCAGCTGCTCAGTGCCCAGCGGGTTGAACCCTGCAGGTCTGTGCCATTAATGGCGGTGCTCTCTCCCCAGCGCATGGAGACCTTCCGCTAATGCAAGAGGGTTGGATCCTTGCGTGTCTGTACGATTAACAGTGGTGTCCTCCACCACCACCCCTGGCATATGGAGCATCTCTTTTTTTTTTTGCAAGTACCTCTTACGACAAGAGAACATTCTTCGTGCCGGGGAAGGCACTGCTGTTGGGGAAACAGGCTGGTGGGACCCGACCCGTGTGCTAGTCATATAACTTGAATTGTAACATCATAGGGTTGAATCCTATGGCTGTTCCACCGATGGGAGGAGAGACCGTCTTATCTAACTGTCTTCCTCGCTGAAGTCCCTTGACCTGTGTGGGTTTTTTTGCCCAAGGGGGGGGTTTCCCCTGACCCTCAACGATGTTTTTCAAGGGGCTGCTGGTGGAAGGAAAGGTGGGGGAAAGTTCCGCTTCTGCTAGCAGAACACCTGCAGGATCCAGCCCATAACGCCAAATCTGCAGCTAGTTAAGAGGTGAAATGACGTGCCTAAAGGCAAAGACATGGGCTGGTGCTCCTCTACAATAACATCCTTGGACTGACTCTGCTTCAATGGTTTAAGCCTCGTTCCTTCCCCTCCCAGCCCCCCAGCCCCAATTTATTTAGGCAGAATTCTTAATATTTTTAGGGACTGGCGTTCCGGCTCTTGGGCTGGTCCTGCTGAGCTCCTGTGTGAATGAATAAAAAAGAACCACGCAGTTTTCAAAACTGTGGCCGTCCTAGTTCTGGATTGCTCAGAGCTGAGCTTATCCAACATGGCTAGCAATCCAATATTTCCCCTTCACTTTTATTAGCAATAACAGTATTTTGTTTGGATGTGTTTTACGGTGTCCTAGACGGGTAGTCCAGTCATCCAGGCCTTTGGCTCACCCAAACCAGTAAGCCGACCTTATCGTAGCTTAGTAGCCTGAGACGTCCCCCAGTCATCCATCAGAATCCACTATGGTGTAAAACACCCTAATAATAATACAGCTTAGGTCACAAAAAAAGCCTTCTGCAGGTCTCCCTTCCGGGATGCAATGAAAGATTTCTCCCGTTTTCTAGCTGGTTCTGGAAAAGGCATACTGCTCTGGGACGCACCAGTCTTTAAGACTGTGTTTTGAAAACTGGAAAGAATGCGGTCTTCCCCTGACTTTTAATACTGTACGGCTCACCCTGTCTCTTGTCTGACTGATTATGAGGACAGATCAGCCTGTACATCGTGTATACTTCCAAAAAGGGAAATGTGACTTTAGTTCTTCAGACACTGACTTGTCTTCAACAGCGCCAAAGCGCTTGTCCTTTCTTCCCTGTATGTTTTGCTTCCCGACTCCGAATCCAGGCAGCTGTGTTCTGTTTGGCGGTCCCATGGAAGCGTTGCTCCCTGGAGACTGTATATTATTAACAGGATATAACCTGTTTTCTGTCAGTTCTTGCTACTCTACCAAATCCTTCACTGTTTTCTAGCTAAATCCCGTTTTGTTTTAACACCGTTTTGTAACTTAATAAAGTGTTCCTAAGAAAATTGATGGGTGAGTTTGAAAAGGAAAAAACAAAATCTCTCTTGTGCCGAAGGGCTTTGTGAGTGGGCTCTTGGTTGAGAAGGCTAAAAAGACTTGATTTCTTATTCACAGAGGAGAAGTCTATCAGTAGGTACTAGCCATGGCGACTGAGGGGAACCTCCACATTCAGAGGCACTAATCCTCTGAATCCCAAAGCCAGGAGGCAACTTCAGGGGAAGGCCTCAGACTCTATGCCAGTTTGGTGTAGTGGTTAAGTGTGCGGACTCTAATCTGGGAGAACCGGGTTTGATTCCCCACTCCTCCACTTGCACCTGCTGGATGACCTTGGGGAAGCCATAGTTCTGGCACAGCTGTCCCTGAAAAAGAGCAGTTTCTGTCAGAGCTCTCTCAGGCCCGCCTACCTCACAGGGTGTCTGTTGTGAGGAGGGGAAGGGAAAGGAGTTTGTAAGCCGCTCTGAGACTCCTTTGGGTAGTGAAGGGCAGGGTATAAATCCAATCTCTTCCTCCTCCTCCTC